TCCTATTATCCTTTTTGCCTTTATTTTGCTCATACATAACTGACCATCCGGCTGGACATGTCAAGCTTCGGCTTTTTATCCGCAATATACCATTGACCATTGAACATTAAACACTAACCACCGACTAGGGTGATATTCAGGGTGATCTTCTGTCGCCTTGTCACATCCTACTTACATCAGCTCAATAATAGCCTAACAGTAAGTGACGCCTGCTATAACAAAGCAGTGCCTACTCAACTAGCAGCAAAATTGCTACTGTTATATTCGGTAATAGCGCTCTCAGTGGAGCGTCGCTCAAGAGTCTCTCTCTAAACCAAGGGCGCCACCGTTAACTGAGAGTTCAGTGGCAAGTTGCGCAGACCACTTAGATCGCTTTGTTCACAACCACACCATAAAATTTTGTCACCCCAGAACCCGATCATTCCCAGTCATACACCTGTGACTGTCTTGATATCCTGACACACCGAACCTGCCCGAGCGCTGGTAGGTAGTCCTAACAGTGTCATCCCACGACCTTGGAAATATATAAGATGTTTCATGTATAAAACTATGTTCACGAATTTCCTTCTTCGTGCCAAAATGTAAAGTATGGCGAACGATTAGTTGCAACCAGCTGGGCGTGCACCTTTAACCATGTAAATATCTCTGCTCAATCACCATGTCACTCCATGTCATTGGTACGTTCATTATTTAACTTTCGCTTCACTGCGGCCATCCTACGGGACATATCACCTTTATCTACTTGACGCGTTATATACCTTTGTACTGCCATCTGCGATTGTGGGCAACGTATTCACAGGCCGTTATGTAGGAAATTCAGTGTTATCAACCTCGCGGAATTGTGGGATCTGAAGGTACAACTACCGTCGGAAGAAACTGAGGTGCTTCTCACCGATAGGCGGTGTCAACCAAGTGCCTTTGCTGGAGAAGAGGCAGTGAAATGGACAGACAAATATGCCGAGAACCGCTGGAGTGACTCCCATGTGTGAACATACTACTCAAATGGGTACGGGATACGAATTCAGTTGATGCGCAGCGACTTGCGTATCAGTTGCCCTTACGTTCGATCCGCACCAGTCCGCCCATGCATGTGCGTACAGAACAGTCGATGCAAAATTCCGACAATTCGGTCGCCGTATCTCATTTGATTCAGCGACCATCAAGTCAGTGTACTGCACCCACCATCAGGTAAAGCGACGCCTGTTGGAACATAGCAGGGCCTACTCGCCTTGTAACAAAATGGCCACATTAGTATTTCTGCACTAGCCATATCAGCAGGATGATGCTCAAGATGACTCTCTATAACCCAAGGTGGCCACAGTCCAACCTGTATTTTGGTTGCGCAGGCCTCTTTTGTCGCTCTACGCGAAAGCAGGTCACACCGCCTCGTCATAAGCAGCCATGCACTTGCGACAGCCTCGCTATCCGGACATAGTACCGTCGTTAGCACTAGCGTTGGTAAGTCGTCCAAAACCTTGGGCTGGGCCAGCGCAAAACTAGCCATCAGATATCTAATACGGAGTCGCATTAACTTGTACGCAGCCCCCACCAACAACTTGTGACGTTCTCAACGCATCGCTTTACTTACATGGTAGCCCAATTAAACCCAGTCGCGTCACGTGCTTGGACAACCTTGTGACTTTACTCGGCGCAGAACTACCGGTTGTTTTGTTTATTTTGTCCGGAGCTAATAGCGGCCGCACTCGTGTGGATCGTGTATGAGTTAAACTGTCAGATTCAGCTATCCTGTATGAGATCCCTTAATCAACTCTTTCTGTGGAATTTACAAAGTGTGGTTGCCAGTTTTGACGGCTGACTGAGTAATGTTGGCCGAATGGTTGTTGAAACGCGATTCAAGGAATTTCTAACTTCCCTTGTCTTTTGGTGCACACTACCCTGATTTGGAGTTTAGTAGTCTGCTGTGAAGCGCTGTCCAACATTCCAATGCTTTCCTGCGACCACTTAGTACTGAAGCAGCACTTTCACAACTCTTCGGCCACATACTAGGCAGCCTCGAGACCGAATGCGCTACGGTATTATCCGTAGAGATGGTAAGTAGAAGGTAGCGCCACTGATTCTGTTTGCAATTAGTTGTTTCCTTCTCATTATAACCTTCAGTCTCGGGAACAACGTGAACAAAGATGGTCCTAGCTACGGACTCCCTTCGGTAGTCTTCTAAGCCATCTTTGGTAAGTTTACGCTCGCTTACGGATTATCCGGTTAAACGGGGACTGTGCAGGATCTGTTCCGAAGAAGAGTTATTGGTACTAGAGCTGCTTTTGTCTCATCGATGAAATTAAGCACAACTCTGAGAAGTCGCTTTTTATCCTAGTGCTTTGAGTTGGAACGAGAGGTGACCCACATAGGGTTACTGAACTTAGCCACAACACCCAATAAGCTATAGATTGCGTTCTACTGGTTCACGTCTACCAGTTGCTTTTCTTTGACCAAATTTCTCCTTGCTTCGATAATATTCGTGAAAATTCCCGTCAGTAAACTAGGTGGTATCTTAAAGACATACAGTACAACATGGATTGCGGTCGACTGTCCCGAAAGTCTGCATACCTTTGTTGGTGGCTGTGAGTCTTAAAATTTTCTCCTCTCATTTTTTAGAATCAGTGTGAGTAACTAGAGGCTTAAATTTTTGTGTTCTTCGTTGTAGCTGCAGTACAGACACAACTCGTGTAAATAAACTTCCGATACTTGGGCAATGGAGAAAGCCGTAAGCGCTAATATTTCAGCCGGACTTAAAGTGATTGGTTTAGGCATAACTGGGCCACTGGTGCTATTAGAACATTGATTGACGTTCGAAGCTACAGGTGACATTTAGTGCATTCGTCGTCAGTCTTGAAGCGGGTTCGTTTGGAAAGGACTGAGACTCAGGCCCCCTATGCCTACTCCTAGTGAAACGATTGTGAACTTCGCCAGTTGCTAAAATAGTCTTACCTGTCGTTCTTGCTTCTGAGATAAATCGAGTGCTATCTCGGCCATTGGGTTTGCTGTACGCATTGCGCAAGAACAGAGTATCTGTTCTACTATTGTGCAGTCCCAACTCAGTTAGTAGCAATTTAACATGCATAGGGGGGAAATTACCGGAACATGGGATCTCTGTGTTGACATTTTGCTTGCATTTTATGTATGGCCCCTCATGATTGATCATCGCAAACCATCCTATCGGTCTACCCTTGCTCTTTGGTGATGTTAGGTGAATTGCACAAGGCTTCCATTCGGCTCAAGTATGACTGGTGATGTCGGATACCACTTTCCACAGTGATTTCGCCGGCTGCGATACCAACGATTCTGTAGCACGACACTATAGTTTGAAGCAAAGTGACACGGTTGTGTTGATTACTCAACGGCTGCTACGGTGTGTGTGACGCGGCTAAGTAATAGACCGCAGGAAATGCCTGTTAATTTTGTTACTTAGCGACCAATAGGTATGATTTGGCTTTCATTTGAGACCATGATTGTTCGTTTACACCTCAGGGGATCAACAATTTCACGCGTATGTTCCGATGTGTAGGATGCAGCAAACGAAATATGGAGGTAAGGCGTGACACACACTAATTCGAGCCAATAGATAGAGTGCACTAAATAGCACTCGTCGGGCTGGCTCAGAGGAATGTATGCACATTTGTGTGCCGTGATAATTATTAGATACAGCAGGAGAGAGTGCAACCACCCGGTAGCAACACACCGTTGCAACACGTGATAGCACCAGTACACTGATGTTTTTAATTAATTAATAGCAACATGCTGGCCCACTTTTCAGCCAATGATGAAATTGGTGCACATAGGATCAAGCGCTATCTGTGTTAAAGTACAGTTGCAATACCATTGTGGCGCAGGTGCCTCTGTTGTTTAAAGGTTGTCTGGAAAGCTTGCACGGATTACAACAACACAGTGTGAAGAGGAATGTGCTAATACCACAGAAGTATTTGAAACGAACGGGAGCTGTTTAAATGCAAATTGGTAAGTTTCCGGCACTGAGGGAAGGTCGGTGGAAATTCTGAAGTTTCACTAATCCTTAGGAACCAATAACTACGCCGCTTGGTGACGCTGGTGCACACAGAGTTCCAAGTGACCATAAAACGCAGGTGTCTTCTTACCTCCCAACATGGAAAGTGAGTGAGGCAAGCAGTGTGCCAGTAGTACGTACGTACGCTTCGGAAAGGTGATGGCGAAGGTCCCTCACTCACCCTTTAGAACATAAATTTATCGTACAATTATACAAAGTTTCTTCGTGTGGCATTTGATAGAGTTACATCGCTCGCCGACATCCTAAGAGATGCAGTGAACGAAACCAAATGCTGTAGTCTCTGTCGGATTTACAGGCGTGTTTGGAGAAGATAAAATGCGGGACACTCGACAAGCTCGATTATGTTGGAAGTCATTTTCGGGTAGTCAAATGCCGAACAACCTCCTCGTGGTGCCAGCTGGGTGGTTCGGGTTTTTCCGGTTCCAACGAATGGTTCGGCGGTAGTGTTCCAGGACGTGGTGGGTTTTCGCCTGGCAATCGTCCTCCCTATAAAAAGCCACATATGTCCGTTTAACAACACTGCGACGTGGCGGATGTGACTCGCCACTAAATAAAGTCACTGCCCCTTGCTCCTCCCTGAGAGGCATTGTACTTCAAGGGTGAGTTGGGCCCCTGGTCCTTCACGGACCGAAAGGCGTATGAACCATCTACTTGGTCACCGGCTCTCAACGGGTTGCGACGCCCTCACATCGCCCTGCTGCCTTGTAATTTAGATCTTTGATCAAAGGCTCGGGGTAGGGCCCCCTAAGACAACCCTCTACTTCGGCCTGGGCAACCGGGTAGTATCACGCCCACTGACGAATCATGGACTACACCGCTCACTACTAGTGTGGTGGATTGAAGGTAGATACTACTGAACCGGATATAAGTAGTGTGATGCAAGCTGACACACCAACAGCGAGCCTTGCCGACTTCCCCAAAGTTGAAGATGACCTCAGGATTCCAGTTCCATGTGCACGAGGAGTAAACACAGAGACGAGCACCAGTTGGGAAACACTCTATGGAAATCACGCGGATGAGCGGACGCCTCCAAAGTAACTGTATGGAAATCACGCAGATGAGCGGACGCATCCAATGTATGAACGAACACACCTAGTATAAGCCACTTTAGTAATAAACAATTACCGCCTGCCACGGGTTCTTACATTTGGTGCCGTGACCTCACAACCCATGAAGATCCCCTGGCCGGAGCCATTTGAAGACGGGGATGTGAAGGTGTTTTTGGAGGATTTCGAGGAGGTGGCAGAGGCGGTAGGACTGAAGACGGACCGGGCGAAGATGGCGGCCCTGCGGAGTCTCCTCAAGGGCAGGGCGAAGGCGGTTCTGGAGGCGGCGCGAAGAGGTCCGGTCAAGTTGGAGTGGACCGCCGCGAAGGAAGCGTTGCTCTCTGGCCTGGACACGCCAGCGGACCGCCAGGAGGCGATGCGACGGTTCAAGGCGTCGCGGCTTGGTGCGGGGACGGATCCCCTCGTGTTTGCGGTGCACCTCAGGAGCTTGTTGGACCGCGCCTTGCCGGGGTTGGATGGGCCGTCAAGGACGCAGTTGCTGGTGGATCAGTTTTTGGCCGGCCTCCCACAGCCAACCGCGGAGCGCGTTCGGATTGCAAATGCCACTCGGAAGATGCAATTGGAGGAGCTGGCGCAAGTTACTCGAGACCTGGGCGACGCACCACTAGCTGCGCTGAAGGAAGAGCCACGTGAGAATGTGGAACGGATGGACAAATTGGAACGGATGATGGAGCAGCTTACGGAAGACATCAATGGGCTTCGCGTTCAGCGTTATCGGGTGCGCACAAAGGGATGTTGCTTCATCTGCGGGAACCCGGGGCACTGGAAAAGACAATGTCCGCAGAGGCGTGGTGTTACTCGGGTGTCGAATAAACGTGTGCAACCTTATTTTTCTTTTCGAATCAAAGATTGTGTACTTGGGGCGTTGAGCAGGAGTGCGGTTGAAGCAATGGTGGAAGTAGACGGAACGATGGAAAGGTGTCTGATCGATACGGGTGCCGCGGTGTCACTAATCAACCATCGACAAGGTGAAAAGCTGCAGTCGTGCTGCACGATCGTAAGAGCGGTTGGCGGTCATTCAGTGGGAATTGATGGTATAGCCGAACACACCGTAGGAATCGGGGGACGAAAGCGAACACACTCCTTTCTCGTTTCACCAGATGCGAAACAAACCATATTGGGAGCAGATTTCCTGGAGCTCAATAAAGCTGTCATTGATCTAAAGCGTGGGAAGTTGCTAATGGAATGCGGGTCACTACCACTCATTAATCGTGGAGAAATGCGATCTTCGCAGTCGGTCGTTGCTGTGTTACATTTGAGCCCATCATTGCAGTCGCTGATTAACAAATACCAACCCTTGTTTACGGATGACAGCAGCCAATATGGGTTTTGCGATTGGATCGAGCATACCATCCCGCTAACTCGCCAACCGTATCGGCCCCATGGACCTCGAAGGATACCAATCCACCTGGAGGCTGAAGTGAACAGGCAAGTGCAGGAAATGCTGGACGCGGGCGTGATTGAGGAGGCACATAGCCCGTACAACTCTCCTGTGGTCTTAGTGAAGAAGCCGAATGGGAAGTACCGATTCTGTGTCGACTTCCGAAGACTGAATGAAATTTCCTTGACTCGTTTCGTTCCAGTTCCATCAGTTGCTGATATTTTTGATCGGCTGCAGCAGTCGAGGATATTCACGGTCCTGGACTTGAGATCAGGATACTGGCAACTGGCAATAAAACAGGAAGATCGAGAGAAGACGGCGTTTACCGTTGGTGAGAAACAGTATCAGTTTAAGAGGATGCCCTTTGGATTATCAGGAGCCCCGTTTACCTTCCGACGTCTAATGCTGCGATTGCTGAGTGAATTGGAAAACGTGGTGGTGTACGGGGATGATATCGTGGTGTATAGCCAATCAGAAGCGGAACATATCCATCATCTCGCGGCAGTTCTGGAACGCATTCAGCAGTCGGGACTTCGGATAAATGGACCAAAGTCCCAGATCGGAAAGACCTGTGTCACCTTACTGGGTCATAAAGTGGGACAAGGCGAACTGAAACCGCTACCTGAGAAGATAATGACGATACAAGGCAGCCCACTTCCCACCTCGAAACGCACTCTCCGTACATTCCTGGGCCGCGCCGGGTACTACAGCAAATTCGTCAAGGATTTTAACACATTGGCCTCACCCTTGTACGAGCTGTTGAAACAAGATAGGAAATTCACGTGGAATGCAGAAGCTCAACGAGCCTTTGATCAGATTCTACAGGAAATGGGAAGGCAGGAGTTGACCCTGAAATTGCCCATCGCTGGTGAGATGTTCACGGTAGCCACTGACGCCAGCGATGTCGGGATCGGTGCGGTGTTGAAACAAAACCATGGGACGATCGAATATGCCGGCCGAACTTTGACGCCTGCGGAACGCAGATACTCAACCATAGAGAAAGAATGTCTCGCAATTGTCTGGGCGTTAGATAAATGGCGGCCATATCTCCTGGGTCAGCGATTTCACGTCGAAACAGACCATAGACCGTTGGAGTGGATTAAGTCTGCCAAAGACCCCAGAGGAAAACTGGCGAGATGGGCATTGCGCTTACAAGAGTATGATTTCACGATAAAACACGTGCCGGGGAGGGAAAATCAGACGGCGGATTTTTTGTCACGCATGATAGATGAGGATGACCTGCCGAGCGTAGCTTTCGGTATTAACGGTATACTGTGCGAGCAGGATCCAGAACGGTTGGCAACCGAGCAACGTAGCGACAAACTCCTACGCAAGTTGATCACCGCGCGATTAACTGGTCAGACAAACTTCAACAAAAACCAACTCAAGCAGCTGGGACCGTTTGCAAAAGACCTGGGAAAGCTGCAAGTGAACGAAGCAGGGATCTTAATGTGGATACCAGGAGGTAGCAACCCTTCGGTGCCAGTCATTCCAATGAAACGAAGACGGAATCTAGTAGTTTCTTGTCACGAGATGGCGCACACAGGTTGTTCCAGGACCTACGATCTGCTGAAACAACGCGCGTATTGGCCGGGAATGAAAATGGACGTTGAGAAGTGCGTACTTTCGTGCCGACAATGTCAGCTCATGAAAACGGATTGCCGAGGAATGCAGCAGCAAACGATGACGATCCCGGTCTCGGAAATTGGTGAACTTTGGTCGGTCGACGTGATGGGGCCGTTTCCATTGACCAGGCGTGGTAACCAGTACATTTTATTGATGACGGAGCACTTCACGCGATGGATTGAGGCGACAGGCATCCCGGATCAACGGGCTAGCACCGTTACCCATGCTGTCATGAATCACTTGGTAGCGGCTCACGGAATCCCAAAGGCCATCTTAACAGATCAAGGGCCGTGCTTCGAGAGTGAAGAATTCCGGAACTGTTTGGAGAAACTTGGCATCAAGAAATTGCGCACCACCCCATACCACCCGCAAACAAATGGCCTGACGGAACGTAACAATAGAACAATCAAGGAGTGGCTAGCAGCAAAAGGTGGAGACTGGGAGGAAGCGCTGCCGCTACTGTTGCTGACCCATCGAGCAACCAAACAGGCGTCCACAAAGAAATCACCATTCCAGTTGATGTACGGTCGACAACCTCGTCTACCTGTGGACCTAGAGATTGGAATGTGGCCAACTTGCCGTATATCTCCCGAGGAGACACGTAATAACCGGAAGACCGCCAACCGCAACCTACAGGCGACTCAGGCGCTGAGGATGGCGAAGTTCCAGACCAGCAAAGGTGGAAGGAATATCGAGTTTCAGATTGGTTCGAAAGTGAAGTACAGGGACCATCAACGCTATCCCACTTGCGGCCCAGGGGAGAGGAAACTCCTAGCGAAGTGGAAAGGACCGTACGAGGTAATCGACCGGCGAGGCCCAGTGTATACAATCGCTCGGCAAGGTGAATCGCGGAGGGTGAATGCCAGCGAGCTGAGGAAGTGGTACGAATTGGAGGAGGAAACACGCTCGTACAGTGAACATCCCCGGCGGTCAGAAAGACTCCGACGGAAGGCAGCTGACGCGAATCCTTTGGAGGGGAGGAGTGTGGTGGATTGAAGGTAGATACTACTGAACCGGATATAAGTAGTGTGATGCAAGCTGACACACCAACAGCGAGCCTTGCCGACTTCCCCAAAGTTGAAGATGACCTCAGGATTCCAGTTCCATGTGCACGAGGAGTAAACACAGAGACGAGCACCAGTTGGGAAACACTCTATGGAAATCACGCGGATGAGCGGACGCCTCCAAAGTAACTGTATGGAAATCACGCAGATGAGCGGACGCATCCAATGTATGAACGAACACACCTAGTATAAGCCACTTTAGTAATAAACAATTACCGCCTGCCACGGGTTCTAACACTACTACTATTGCTATGCCGCTCTTCTGTCTTAACCGCTCAAAATCCACTCACAGACACCTCACCTCCCGTCCTTCACCTACATCTACTCTTGTGTCTTTTACGGTCACCGTCACAAACGACCCACGTCTCGCAGCTGATGGGAGTAACAGCCAAACTCCCGGTTTTCAATGTCCTACGATCGCAACCGCCTCTCACTCCACCGAAGCTCCAGCTCTTCTTCGACCTGGTTCTCCATTCATCCTCGCAGCTTTTAATGTTCGCACTTTGATGCAGATCGGACGACAAGCACGTCTGGCCCGTACTCTTGAAACGCTATCGGTAAACATCTGTTATCTTCCAGAGACCAGATTATAAGACTAGCGCCGCCATCAGAATGGCCTCTCCGGTAAACTCTGACGCCAAATACTACTTGCGGCTTTCCGGAGACCCAGAATCTGCCGCCACAGGTCAAGCTGGTGTTGGGGTTGTATTAAGTGCCAGGGCTGAATCAACTCTGCTTGACTGGATCCCAGTCAACAGCCGACTATGTGCAGTCAGACTAAGAGGTTCATGTAACGTAAGCAGGCGTCGAGATGTTAAGCGTGCCTTATTTGTCGTCTCCGCCTACGCCCCTACAGACTGCAGCCCGGATGCAGTTAAAGATAGCTTTTACCAACAACTACATGAACTTCTGCGTTCCTCCAAACGGACGGATATAGCCATTCTTGCCGGGGACTTTAACACACGGGTTGGCCGCCTTCTACCAAGCGAGCACCACATTGGGGGTAGTTTTGGTCTAGGTGGCAGTCGATCAGACAATGGAGATAGACTACTTGCTCTTTGCTCTGATCATCGCTTGTTTCTTTCGAGCACTAGTTTTCGACACTCGAGGAGACAGACTGCTACCTGGCGCCCGCCCTCACAAACGCAAGAGTGCTCCCAGCTTGACCACATAACAATCAGCTACAGATGGCGCGGAAGCGTAACGGACTGCTGATCGTACTGGTCAACTTTTCTAGACTCTGATCACGCCTTGGTTCGTGCTAAGATTTGCATGCGTTTCGGAGGATCACCTAAACGCGCCCACTACCGACCGGACGTCGCGAATCTACAAAACACTGCGGTTTTAACCAGGTACCAAGCCTCACTGTCAACTTTTCTTGGCTCAACTATTGACGGTGATCTCGAATCGCAGTGGGCGCATATCAAAGATGCGTTAGTTTCCGCCAGTATCGACACTTGTGGAGTCACCCGTCACCCACCGAAACATTGGATTTCCGCCGACTCCTTGTCGCTGATGGACAGACGCCGCTTGATCCCATCTGATTCCAGACACATTGAAGAACGCCAATACCTTGGTCGAGAGTTGCGCAAGAGTCTGCAAATGGACTGCGAAGCTTGGTGCTGTGAACGTGCTAGGGAGATGGAGCTTGCCAGTCTCTGGTAATACCAGAAAACTCTTCCATCTCCTTCGAGTCAGCGAAGGTGCTCGATCTGGTATAAGTGAAACAATATGCGATGGCACCTTATTCACCAATCTTCAACGACGGTTGGAGCGATGGGCCGAACATTTTGGCTCGCAGTTTTGTTGACCCCCAGCTCCATCTGCTACCTCTGGCGCTCACGCTGGGGCCGAGTGGTCTACTCCAACCGACCCTCCCTCTTCGCAGGAAATCGAGCAGGAGCTCCGGCACATGAAGCGTTATGAAGCTCCCGGCCCTGATGGTCTTCACCCAGCTCCATTTAAAGATGGTGGCGCATCGCTGGTCCGAGAACTCCCCACTTTGTTCTCGAAAATTTGGTCGAAAGAGAAGGTTCCATCATGTTGGGGTGAATCGATAGTCGTACCCATCTTCAAAAAGGGCCTGCGCACAATCTGCTCCAACTACAGAGGAATAAGTTTAGTCCCCGTCGTTTGCAAGCTGCTGGTGTCCATCATAGTTCGCAGGCTATCCCCAACACGCGAATCGTTGCAACGAGAAGAACAAGCTGGGTTTCGCCCTGGTCGCAGCTGCATCGATCAAATCTTCACACTTCGCCCGACCCACGTGCTCCGCCATGTGTATCAGAGGCCAACGATTGCTGTGTTCCTGGATACCCGTGCAGCCTTCGATTCTGTCGATCGTACAGTACTGTGGCAGTGCCTTTTGAGGAACGGTGTCCCCGAGAAGTTCGTCTCCATACTGCGCGCTCTATACAGTCTGCCCTCGGGCAGGGTTAGGGCTTCTGTCATGCTTTCGCCTACCTTTGTGGTCTCCAGTGGAGTTCGACAAGGATGCCCTATCTCTCCGTTCCTATCCAACTTTGCCATTGAGGATGTCCTGAAGAACGCTCTGAGCGATTCATTGAACGCTGGCGTTGAGCTTCTCCCAGGTAGTCGAGTTGTTGATTTGGATTATGCTGATGATATCGTCTTGCTGGGTGACGATCCACAGGTCGTCCAACTTGCATTAAACCGCTTGACGATTGAAGCAGCAAAGTACGGTATGTACTTTTCGCCATCAAAATGCAAGGCTCTCCTTCAATACTGGCAGGTGCCTCTGCCTGCACTCACGCTTGCTGGTGAGACACTGGAGGTTGTGGAGCGCTTTGTCTACTTGGGAAGTTGCATCACTGCTGGTGGGGCTGTTGGAGACGAGATTTCGATGCGCATCTCGAGAGCGCGCCTCGCTTTTTCTAGGCTGAGGCATTTGTGGCGTCTCCACGACATTCGTCTCTCCATCAAAGGGCGGGTCTATTGTGCAACTGTTCGTGCTGTACGGTTGTACGGATGCGAGACCTGACCCATTCGTAAAGATGACTTGCGCAGGCTATCCGTCTTCGAGCACCGCTGTCTGCGGTCCATTGCCCGTGTGTGGTAACAGCACCACGTAAGCAATGTGAGAGTTAGACAGCGTATCTTGGAACGTGGAAGCCACTCGCTCGAGGAGCTCATCTCACTGCATCAACTGCGGTGGTTGGGACACGTAATGCGCATGCCTGTCCAGCGTTACCCCCGTCGTGCGTTGTTTGCACTTGCTGGACAGGGCTGGAAGAGACGGTCTGGTGGACAGCCTACAACATGGAGAAGTCGCATGAAAAAGTTGACGAAACAATTGGCCTCGGCCGGTTGTTGTCGACTACCTGGTTGGGGTCCGAGAGATGAGGATACTTGCTGGTTGAAAACCTTGGAAGTTATGGCTCAAGATCGACGTCAATGGCGGACGTGTGCATCAGTGTGTTGCGGTGTCCCTTCTTCCTCCCCCTAAAAAAGAACAAACTGAAAAAATTTCAAAAACTGTGAGTGGTAAACTTGACAAAAAAGCATTTCTTGTTGCTCTTTTCTTATTATTCAAATTGTTTTCCTATTCAGCCATGATTCTGATGGCACAATAACTGTACCACAGATTGCGTATTATATATATATATATACATATATATTTATTTATTTATAGTCAAATGCCTGTATACTGGTGCGCTGGCTAAATTGTAGCCGCACCGAAGCAAGTCGGATGTCTTGTTATGGTCTCCAGCACGAGAAAAGGTTGTCACCTCTCTGCTATACTCTTTAAGACATGTCTCGCTCCCGTGCTGATATGTGAAGGCAACGTATACTGCAGTTGGTGGCTAGTTGCTCAACGTCGTTTCTGTGTTACATGTCGAGTGCACAGCCCAGTTCTTTGTCTTCACTAGGAGGAGTCTTGAAGAGTAATCACGACATGTGATGACCAATTATCAGCACAGTATTCATCCTATGCGTTAATCAACTCTCGTCAAGTGAGAAGTATGTGTGCCCACGCAAGTCCTGAACGATGTAAGCTAGCGCAAAATGCCTCAAGTTTCCTCCTTCCCCGAAGAAGGCTCCAAGAAGGCCTGTAGATAGCCCCTAGAGTCCTGCATTCTTATGACGAAAGGGGTGGAAACTACCGCAAGCCGGATCATTGGGCCTAAGAGCCCTCATTTGACTGTTTCGATTAAGCGTATGGTGTCTAGATCATTGGCGCTGTCGGGCTTTGGCTACGTTATCAACGAAGGGGTGGCCTACAAGTGGAAAGTATGTTAGCTGAAACAACTTCATCAATACATGTGGTAGATGCTGCGCACGCGTTGGTGGAGTAGGGTTTATGACACTGAAGCGAACCTCATGAGCGGCATGCATGGACAAAGCTTCCTGAGCAGGTAAGCCGAACGGATACGACTAGCATACCAGGTCACTTTCAGTATTGCCAAATGAGTGGAAGTAAAGGAAACGCGGTTTTATGAGTTTCGGTCTGGTTGTCTCTCATCTCAGCACTCCAAGACCGACAGTTTGGACTCATCAGGTAGAGATATCCGAGCTGGGTGTCTATCGCCATGATCACTGGGCCATTGAGCTCCGCAAGCAGTGCTTGACAGAGCGGTTAGGAAGTTGATTTTCGGGATTTCGAATGCTCGTCGTTTGTCTCGGAATGCCTGGTCGCGTGACCCAATCATGTTCGCGAATTAATGTTGACCAGAGGTAATGGGAAGGAACGTCAGTGGACCATCGACAATGCTTGACCACATCACGAATGACATCTCACGCGCGCATGAACACAACTAACGCACAGTGTGCGAAGATATCGAGTGTGCAAACGACAGACGCAGATGAACACAATTCATCGTCATCATCCAAGTACTTCTACGGCGCTTCCGGTGTATGCACGTCAGCGAAAACTTTGGTCACCAACGTTAGTATGAGTTACCATTCTCTAAGAAGGTGATGCGAAGTTGATCAGCCCGACGAGTGTGTAATCAGGGGACGGTATTTTCGACATTTACAGTTGAGTGCGCCGATAATGATGTGTCATATCTGCAGTTAGGTCATGCGTGTACAGTGAGGGTATGAGTGTATGGATGAAATTGTGTGTTTCTCCATCTAACGAGACAGTGCACGAACGGATGGGTACGGGTCTGTTCTGACGAAATATGCCTGTTCATGTAAAAATTTAGGAGGAGCGGCAAAATTTGACAACGTTATAACTGTTGCTATAAATATCGCGCAACC